ACTTAATTACTATTTTCTACACTCTTTGCTCCGTATCTCCGAAACAGCTCGGCCTGCCTTTGCCAAACACTTATCAGCACGTTTCGGAGTCAATACAATAAATCATTCAAATCAGTTGATTCGTGCGTCAGAAATTGTGAACGAAAAATTGTATCGAAACATACACACATACATACTACATACACATTGATAAAATTGGGAAAATTTTGTTCGTCAGGCAATGGCAATTTAAATTTTCCCAATATGAAATATCAACTACTAAACAATAGCTAAAATTCCTTTATTGATAAAACTATTGATTACATTGATTGAATTTATTATCGATATATGCACTGTTAAAATCAACGTTTTATTATTTATGACGTACTTTTTTATACGAAAAGCCAAAATAGCCAAAATAGTTTCTAATTCAATTCAAGAATGTCCAAAATGAAATTTTTTGAATTTTCTACCTATAGAACGAAGTCTGATATCAAACTGAATAATTATACTGCGTAAACTTTGAATGGCACATTTTGAGTTCGACTAACTATGAAAATTTTAAATTCGCATATTAACAAAAAAAAAATGAATTGGTGCAATTTTGTCAACATTTTTGACTGTGGTCCTAGAAATATCATTTAGGGTTATGATTCCAAAATTTAAATAAAAAAAATAAAAATCAATCAAATAACCGAGAAATGGTTAGAGTTTGATCAAAGCTCTAGGTTTTACTTAAAAGATTAAATCTCTAACTGCACGGACTATTTTTTTTTTTCTATTTTTTTTCATGGTGGTTGCAATCAAACCTATCCATTCCGTGTTGGCTTCACTATCATATATTTTTTTTAATATATTTTTTTAATTAAAATCACTATAAATCGAATAGGGTTTCCTATAACCTTAACTTGAAGTGAAACGTACAATTCAAGCATTTAAATCAATAGTATTGAAAATTTCACTTACTTCATTTTTCTATTTTTTAAAGTTGAGCTAACGAACTCAATAACTTGAAATTCGTATCTTGTTATATCAAGTTTTTTTTTTTTTAATTTCAATATAGTCTTAAGTTAAGGAAGCTTTGCAATAATATAAAGATCCTTGCAAGTATTTGCAAGATGCGTACGAGTAAAATCACACTAGTAAGCAAAATTACAATTACTTCAAAGCATCAAAAAGCCTGATAAGAAATAAATTTATTATACAATTATATGCATAAACACGTATTAAGACGTAGACATGATTCAGAACGAGAAAGTGAACGTACTGCGTGCATAAAATGCAGCAATTATTGATAGCGATATAAACAGTAAATAAATCTTTTGAGTATATTATGTTAATCGCCTCTAACAGTTTATTATTTACATATATTTAGCATATATGACTTTAGATTAAACGCGAACTAACAATTTATTCAAAATCAAAAAACAAAGCTCAAAGCTTTGCGAAATCAAGTCAATAACTAATGTATTAGTTGAGTTGTAATAAAATAATTAATTAATTTAGTGCCATCTTCGCGCATTAATAATTATATTTTAAAACCGTACTCTGAAAAAATCATTCATATTGAAACATTTTAATGTCATGGCACAATTTCTAACAACGAATATTAAACTACAATCCCAAAAATAAGTTTACAACGTTTGGATAAAAAATCTGTGTATCAAAATAGACAACTTGTTATAGAAACAAAAACACAATATTAGTTACAAAATTTAAATATATAAATAAGACACGATAAAATAGATCCATAGTTCAGAAAAATATAAGAAGTTTTAAAAATATAAAAAGTTTACTTGGTAACTCTGATAAAAAACAATTAATATTTATAAAATCCTTAAATAGGACTTACAATACATATATAATTTTTGATTTACAAAAATTAAAAGCCCTTTGAAGTTATTCCAATCAAGATCCGTCTCCCACGCCCGGATTTTAAATATATAAAGAACCTTATTAATAATATTTTTTTTTGCTATGAAGACAATAATTTAAGGTATAATTTTGAAAATGATGTTTTGAAAATTCAAAATCATAATTTAAATATAGATATTGTTTATACTTTTGCTAAAGTTTTTGCTATACTAATTTTCGAAAACCGTGTCCATAGTGTGAAACTTTTAATCTAAATCTTTAAATCTGGTACTAAGATGAACTAGTGGTGCATTGCATCGTGCCTTAAAGCAAATTGTTACCTTCCCGTACCAAAAATTAAATTTTGAAAAAACCTTTAAAAATTTGAAAATAATAGATTTTTAAAAATACTGAATAAAGAAGAAATATCAGAGCAAAGTGAATGTAACAAAAATTATGCTTATTAATAAAAGCTTTATAAAAGATCTCATGATGCGACGTGCATATGTCTAAGGATCATTTTTAACCGCCAAATTATTTTTTTTACTTTTTTCACTCGATATCTAAAACCGCTGGACCTACCTTCGCAAAAATACTTTATTTTGTCAATACAAATAAAATGTTTGTTGAATTATTCAAATCGGAGGGTCCGTTCTCTCAAAAACTGTATTAACATTTTTGGATCTTTTCGCCCCGTATCTTCAAAACGGTTAGACGTGCTTTTGCCAAAAACTAATCTGCACGTCTCCTCGTCAATAAGAATAGAATGTTTTTTTTAATCATTCAAAGATCATATTCGTGTTCCCAAAATCGTCGATGAAAATTTATATCGGCACACACACATACATCTATTTTTTCTAAGGTATTCCAAAATGTTTAGAAACCTCTATAAAACGTAAAGACATTCAAGAATTTTCATTTTCGTTATTTTGCGATTACTATAACTTATCCAACGGAAAGTTAATAATCATGAATATTTCGCAATGCTGTGAAATATACAGTGTAATTACAATATGCGGTTATTTTGAAAGCAATTTTTGATGTGATAATAAGCGCAAAATACTGATGGAGCTTAAATTAAATAATAATCATTTTGATTTCATGAGTAATAAAGCAAGTTAAAAGTGTTTGTAAGTTTAACAAAACATTCATTGCCAACAGTGGGCAATCGATAATTTCAATTTTTAAAAGTAAGCCACGCACAGTAGCAACGAGCACGACGAGTATGTACTTTGCAAAAAGATAAGTGCGTGATAATGTTGATAATGGTAATGCCCCGTAGCGGCTTCCGCTGTAATTATCGTAACCGGAATTCGAGCCCTACCCGCTTCATTATTTTTACAATATGTTATTTATTCATTGAAAAACTGGTCTTCATTTATTTCGCATGTCTTGTTTCGAGAAATGAATAAAAATCGACGACAAAACAATTTAGTTAATCAAAATAAATAAATTAATGACTCCAGCAACCGCATTCAGTAATTATACATCATAAAATATTTGTAGATGCAGCAAGATCGAGATTACTTGCGAAATAAGAGAGAAGATCAACAGGAAAAAAGATCTTGTAAAGTACTGGTGACCAATTCTTGGATAAAATAGAAGTGATACGGTGAAGCTATGTTACGGTTTATCTTCGTATGAGCTGGTAGTAACGAACTGTCAGAAAGCTATGTATTTGCTGTTGAAGCAAAAACCACAAACGTCAAATAACTTTATCATAAGCGCAACTTTCTAATGTCTTTCTATACGTAAAGTTAGGTTTTATATGTAAAACGCCTGATCGCTCAGCAAACATAAAATTTTTTTGACAGTTCTACCAAATCATACGAAGATAGACCCGTAATATAGCATTATTATAACATTTCTATTCTACTCTAAAATTGACCCCATTTGAAATCCAACGTGAAACAAAAATTATTTATCAAATCATTATGCTAAGATAGCAATTAAAAGCAATACTTTTAAGAGATTAAATTTTATAGAAATATTTAATTCAGCAAGCCATTAAAACATTTAAATTTTTCCATAGATATCAATGATTTTATAAAGCTAGATTGCCGTTTCGAGAAAAAAATGTCTTCGATATATTGAAATAGCTTTCTCCAATATCATAATTATAGTAACCTCTCCTCTAATTGTAAGACAAAAATGACAAAAGCTCGTTTTTTAAGGGGGTTTTCTAGTGCAGAAATTCAAAAAAATTGAATTTTTTTCATTTCATATTTTCAAAGTTTAACTATCTAAGAATATGGGTACGAGAAGGTTTTTGAAAATTTGAATTATTTTCGGAGAGATAGGCATTTTACTGACTCGGTCTCCAAACTGGCTTGGCAGGCATTAGACCAATTTAAGACAGTTTATCGTCAGATGAATTATAAATTCGATGTATAGGTTCAGAAACTCAGAACTGTAATGAATCTCTAAACTCGTTGATTTGGATTTTTGCGCCGAAACATATTCATTCACGCAAAACTTCAAATGCGTTTTTCTCAGAACAGACTTTTTCAGTAATGTTGACACGATTTCTAATTGACCGATTCTCTTGAAATGTTCAGAGAGTCTTGTTTATAGACCTATCTATACCCCGAACTAGGATTATCCCCAAATTCCAATTGTTACTATTTATAAAAAAATGGAGAAACTCAAAAAACAGTAAAAAAACACTTTTTTTCAAACAGTCGCCAATTTGCAAAAAAAAAAAAAAAATATTCATCCCTAGTTCGGGCGATTGCGACATCATTGTAGATTAATAATCTTTTTATTTCTTTTACTTTGGATGGCCAGGAGGGCTGAAATCATGTCAAGACTGAGGTGCCAATTTTTTGAGACCCCCCACTTCATCAGCAGCCAGTTTCTTCAATTTTCAACTTTTTTTTAAATTTTTGTTTTGTTTGATATTTAGATGATATAATACTGTTTAACATGACTGTTAATCGTATATTGAAAAACGACAAAGTAAATATTGGAATTCCATAAGCAGAGTAAGTTTTCTTATTAATTAAGTAAGGTAATGTAAGGTACGCTTCACCCAATTATTATCAAGTAAAGTAAGTGCTTCGTGTAAAACAGGTAAACAATAATTACAATTAAGTAACACATATAAGAAAATGATCATTATGTTCAAAACCAACATATTGATTTCTAACTGCCATTTGATATATTACCTTATTGTAGCTTCCATTATCGTCATCGTACCCAGAATTAAGTGGAGCCCCTGGTTTTGCCGGAACTTTACATGCTTCCAAACCGAGATACCACACATCTGGATATTTGTCAATTTCGGCTCGTTCGTACTCTGACAATCGAGACCCGTAAGCTTTAAGTGCCTCTGTAACAAAAAATTGAATAAGTTCAATGTGGCGAAGATCGACTTCATAAAAACAATTCGAAACTATTTAACTTAATGCTAGTTTACGCTTCACCCGATTACAATGAAAACAAACTAAATCAGAGCTGTTATTTATAAGGTAGCGAATTATTTGTAATATCAGGGTGTTTTAGGGATTTATCTCAGGAATAAACTTCCTTCTAATACGTAGTATAAACTGGGTATGGTTGTGCAACTTTTTTTTTACCAGCAATAATTTTGTTAATATACCGGATAGCTGGGAGAAAAGTAAATTAAATGGTATCTAGAACATTTGTCTACGCGGAAATACTGAAATACAGTCCTTCAATACGATGGACTAGTCAGAACAAGAAGTCATACAAGAAAAGAGCAAATGTCACAACCATTCACACCTCCAGAACGATTGCAAATATTTACAGTCACCACAGTTAATATTTTTTAAGATATTTACAGCAATTTGGATTTCAGAGATTTTATTAATTCCAGACTAGCCAGTAAATACCCTATAAACAAGTGTTGGTTGTATGAGATTATGAAGTACTGAAATGTATGTGCAATACTGTAGAAATAAATGGCAAAAATTGCAAAAACATGCGAAAAATACGAGCGCACGCGTTAGGAAGCGCCAACACAAAATTCGGATATTAAATTTTCAATATAGTTTTTATTTTCAATATATAATTTCCTTGCAACTTTTACTAATCTTTCCACAATATTTTTAAAATTCATAAACATTTCACTTTATAACAACAAATGGGAAAGTAAAGATGAATACATACAACTCGGCCCTCACGATATCGATTAGGAGTAGTTTAAGGTGCAATTTTGGATATCTTAAATAATAAAGAATTAAAATAATTTATTCCAACATGAAATACTAGTGTTATGTTATGGTTATGGTTATGTTATACTGTTTAAAAGACTTCAATTTCCAATATAGTATGGGAATTGAGACTCATCATTTTATTTAAAGCAGTTCTACATTTAACATCGCTCATCTATTATTATAAATGCATATACATTTTGGCGTGAAGAATTTAAAAAACAATAATTAATATTTTTAGATAAACGGTAAATATTAGTATATTATATTAAAAAATTGTAGACATGGGTACAGGACAACGTCTGTCGGGTCATCTAGTTTAATATATAACCGAACTATATCCAAGTGCATTTCGAATTCATATGAATAACAAAGCTCAAATTATTTTCATTTATCAAAACAAAGATCGCTTACACTTGTCTCAAGTGATATGAATACACTTCAAAGATCATACAAAAGAAAATTAATTCATTGTAATCGCTTTAGAACGTGTTTTGTTTAATAATAAAGCACAAACTGGAAATGTGTATAGAAGCGTTTGGTAAAATTCGGACGGTGACTCTACTGTGCGTAGTATGGGAAGTGTCTAGACTTCAGACCTAAGGGAGTAAAATCCATTGTGAATATGCGCCAGAATGTACCATCAACCCCTGAGAGTCGATGGAGATAAAAAGTTTCAAGCAATATATCCGCAAGCCGAAGTTCATCGAAATTGATAAAATCTTATTACCCTATAAATTATGGCAAAGACGACTTGCAATTATAAAACAATATAACTTTGGTAATTCAAGAATAATTAAAAAACTAGGTAATTAGTTAAAAAAAGGCTACGTATTAGCAAATGAAAAAATAAATTCACTTTTTAAAGATGAAACTAGTTGGTATTGGTATTTTGCCTTAAAGCAAGTTACATGAACTTCCCGATATGTGTAAATAATCGACTTAATCAATAAAAAATAAATTAATTTATGAGTGATTAAAAGTATTCCGAGTGGATTTATTACACATAATTGAAATCAAACAAACACGTTAACTCGGAGTATTTTCTTAAAGCAAATGTTCAAAAATCAATAATTTTTATAATCGAACCAGTTTCCGTAGGACTTCAATGGTTTAGTATGTTCATTGAGACCAAGTACTCTATCGTTATACCAAGTAAATCGTACACTAATAGATGGAAAATTCGACAAAATATTCCCAAATCAGAAGCTATTTTATTTACTAAAAGAAGAAAATCACCTGTTCCTCAATCCTACATACACATAAACGGCAATAATATCTTATGGAGAGACAAAGTTAAATATCTGGGCTTAGTAATGGATAGAAAACTCAATTTCAACGACCATATCAAATGCAAAGTTAATCATGCTAATAGATTATTATATTTATTGTACCCCCTACTAAAATTTAGCAACAATATTGATCAGAAGAATAAGAGAAGACTTTATCTAGCAATGGTAAGATCAACTTTAACCTATGGAGCCCCTGCGTGGTGTATGACCAGTAAACAAAACATAAATAAATTACAAATTATACAAAATAAAGCTTTGAGAATGATACGCGGAATAAAGAGAAACCCTATCACTTATCATTATGTATCCAATCACTATCTACACAACCGACTGAATATACCATTTATATACGAAATTATAAAAAAGCAAGCAAGGAAATTTTTTGAAAAATGCAAACATAGTAATAACCAACTATCACGGATATTGGATCTATAACTCAAGATATGTTTTGGTACAACAATTACAACCTACCGACAGTCATTCTTAATAAATAACACTATAAAGACACATCCAAAAATCAACAGTGTAATATGGTTTTTTGTGATTTTTTCCATTATCTATTTAATTTATTTAATTTATACAATCAATAATGTTTCAAATGATATATATCAATGAATTGTATTAGTATCAGATGATAGGTATACAAAATCTTATATACTCATTTTTTTCTTATATGTAATATAATATGGAACAAATAAATCTTTTCAAACAAAAAAAAACAAACAAACAAACCAAGTAAATCGTTTAATTTTAATTTTAGCTAACGTGAAAAAAAAGACTCATTTTCTCAAAATTTCATGTTTTTATAAAATTGAACTACTTGTTGTAAGGTCGTAATATTTTAGTAAGTTCTATAAGACCATGTTATATATCGCTAAAAAAAAGTTCCATAAAAATCGGCTTAAATTTTTTTCAACAGTTAATTATAAGAAAACGGCTCGGTAAATTTTCACCTAAAACTAATCAGTATCATTCCCAACCAATATCTTTCGAACAGTTTTTGATTTTTTAAAATCGATTCGGTAGTATGAGCTTAAATGTGGACGAACAGTTTAACACTTTTTTTCAAATTATAAAGAAACGGCTTGGCAGATCGTCGCACAAAACTAACAAACGATAGTCCTCATCGAGATACATGAAATAGCTTTTAAATTTTTGAAATCGGTCCAGCCGTTTTCGAGAAAACGTCGATTTACGACAAAAAATCTGTTTACATGCACACACACACATACTTTTTCCAAATTTGTCCTCATTCGATTCAGAATGGCTTGAAACGTCAAGAAAACATAAAATTAGCGAATCGGATTTTTTTATGAAAACAAACTTCTCCTTCGGGAAGTTAATAATGATTAATAAAGAAAAATATATTCATAGTGAAAAAAAATTAGTTCCTCGTTAATTCCTTTTACAAGTGAATTAATCGCACAATTTTGCTGTTAAAACAAACTGCTTGCTAAATAAAACAAATGCAAAAGTAATATTTATGTTAAATATTATTGACCTTAACTATCCTGAAAAAATGTAAAAACACAATTATCTCGCGTTGTTTGGTAATTATAAGCTTGCAAGTGCTACCTAGAGCTTTTGTGAAATCATGATCATTTTTCGGTTATTGTGGTTGATTTTTATTAATTTTGTTCACTAAACTTTGTACCGTAACCTTACATAACATTTGTCGAATTACAGTAAAAAATAATAACACAATTGCCCCAAGTTTTTAAAAATTCAGTTTTTTTAAGCATAGAGTTTTTTACTCAAAATTTTTCAAGAATAAAATTATCTATTAAGTATTTTACCATTTAGCAATTAAATGCGCCAACTTTTGATGAAACTTGCTGACACACATTAGTACATATTTTTTCAAGAGAGCACCTCTCAAAGACGTCCGATTTTAAAAAATTTAAATTCATAGTTCAACAAAAAGTCTGAATTCATGAAAACTAGGGGCAATTGTATTATTTTTTATTATGGTTCTAGAAATGCTATTCACATTTAAGGTTCCAAAGTTTAAATCAACAAAATTAATAAAAGTTAACCACCATAACTCAAAAATTGATCATGATTTCACCAAAGCACTTGCACTTAAAGGCTCATACTTTCTCAACAAAGGACTATTTTTCAATTTTTTTTTCAGGAGAGTAAAGGTCAATATTATCATCATGTTTCTACTTAACGTCAATGTCTGAGACACCCTGTATTTATAATATAAATTTACCTTATCTATGTGTCATGAAAACATACATATAACTGACAGATCAACAAGATTCCACCGCTTGTATAAAAAACTATATTAGTATACGATCAAGAACAATTTCTGGAAAGTGTATGAGAGTTATATCGCCTCGTTTTGAGAATTTATTGCCAATATCATATTCCTCGCAAAATATTCATGTATACGCGCCTGTTTACCCTAATTTCGTTTGTTATGATAGACTATCATGCGGATATTTTATGTCCTAATATTTCGTGTGCTTCCGGAAACTGTTATAGTCCGACAAGATTATAGGAATTCTATATTTTTTGAAAATAAACTATTATGGATATAAAACAGTTTCATGCAAAACATATAAGTCGAGTTTCCAAAGTAAAACAGAAATAAAATGCATTTTGTTGTATAAAATAGGAATTCAATGCCACGATCATCTTACATGCAATTTAAAAATAGATCTAAATTTAAACTAGTGGTGCATGGCATCGTACCTTGAAGCAAATTGCTGGATCTTCCTGTACCGTACTGTAAAATTGCAAAAAGCTTAGAAAGGCAAAATACGTTTTCTTTGAGTATTTTGATTTTTTCGAACACTTATGAAAATTTTGAAAACATTTGAAAAATGTAAACATTTATGAAATAATTGAAAAAATAT